CTCCCAAAACTGGACTGGGAAGAGATAGAAAACTTGAACAGACCAATAACAACCAAGGAAATTGAAGAGGTAATCAATACTCTCCCAGGAAACAAAAGCCCAGGCCCGGATGGCTTCATGGGGGAGTTTTACTGAACGTTCAAAGAAGAACTAACACCCATTCTCCTCAAACTATTCCTGAAAACTCAAGAAGAAAGAAGACTTCCAAACTTGTTTTTGAGGCCAGCATAATCCTAACTCCAAAACCAGAAAAAGACACTTCAAAGAAAGAGAACTACAGGCCAATATCCCTGATGAACATACATGCCAAAATCCTGAACAGAATACTAGCAAATCGAATCCAGCAATACATGAAAAAAAATTATTCACCATGACCAAGTGGTATGCAAGACTGGTACAATATTCGCAAATCAATAAATGTGATACACCACATAAATAAAATGACGAATAAAAACCACATGATCATATCATGGTTGCAGTTTGTCCCCAGCCCTGGTTGGTCGTGCGGGTGGCAGCCACTCGATGTGTCCTTTTCACATCGGTGTTTCTCTCTCTCTCTCTCTCTGTTCCTGTCTCTCCCTCTCACTCTACCTGAACAAAAAAGGAAAAATGTCCTCGGGTGAGGATAAAAAAAAACAAAAAACAAAAAAAACACATGATCATATCAATAGATGCTGAAAAAGCATTTGACAAAATCCAGCATTTATTTTTTATAAATATGCTCAGCAATGTGGGAATAGAGGGATCATATCTCGACATAATAAAGGCCATATATGAAAGGCCTATAACCAACATCATACTCAATGGGCAGAAACTAAAAACATTTAAGAACAGGAACAACACAGGGATGCCCACTTTCGCCACTGTTATTTAATATGGTGCTGGAAGTCTTAGCCACAGCAATCAGACATGAAGAAAAATTAAAGGGATCCAAATTGGAAAGGAGGAAGTGAAACTGTCATTATTTGCAGATGACATGATATTATATATAGAAAACCCTAAAGACTCCATTAAAAATCTACTAGGCTTAATAAATTAATTTGGCAAAGTAGCAGGATACAAAATTAACATCAAGAAATCGATGGCCTTCTTATACACCAATGATGAACTCACAGAACGAGAAACTAAGAAAACAATCCTATTTACCATCGCAGCAAAAAAATTAAGATACCTAGGAATAAACTTAACCAAAGAAGTAAAGGACCTATTTGCAGAAAACCACAGGACATTGAAAAAAGAAATAGAGGAAAATATAAAAAAGAGGAAGCACATACCTTGTTTGTGGATTGGAAGAATTAACATCATTAAAATATCCATATTACCCAAAGCAATCTATAGATTCAATGCAATCCCCATCAAAATACCAATGACATATTTCACAGAACTAGAACAAATACTTCAGAAGTTCATATGGAACCAAAAAAGACCCCGAATATCCACAGCAATCTTGAAAAAAGAAGGACAAAGTAGGTGGGATCACAATACCATATATGAGGTTATACTACAAAGCTACTGTAATCAAAGCCTGGTAGTGGCATAAGAACAGGCATATAGACCAGTGGAACAGAACAGAGAACCCAGAAATGGACCCAAGATATTATGCTCAATTAATATTTGACAAAGGAGGCAAGAGCATACAATGGAGTAAAGACAGCCTCTTTAATAAATGGTGTTGGGAAAATTGGGCAGCTACATGCAAAAAAAATGAAGCTAGACCATCAACTTACACCATGGATAAAAGACTTAAATGCGACCTGTGAATCCATAAAAATTCTAGAAGAAAATGTAGGCAACAAAATTTTGGACATCATACGCAGCAGAATTTTCACAGATACCTCACGTAAGGCATCCGAAACAAAGGAAAAAATGAAAACATGGGACTACATCAAACTAAAAAGCTTCTGCACAGCAAAAGAAACAATCATCAAAATGGAAAGGCAACCCACTGTATGGGAGAACATCATTGCCAATGATACATCAGATAAAGGATTAATCTCCAAAATATATAGAGTGCTCATACAACTCAACTAAAGGAAGACAAAGAACCCAATTAAAAATGGGCAGAGGAGCTAAATAGACACCTTTCCAAACAGGACATACAAATGGCCAAGAGACATATAAAGAAATGCTCATCATCGCTAATCATCAGAGAAATGCAAATTAAAACAACAATGAGGTATCACCTCACACCTGTCAGGATGGCCACTATCAACAAATCATCAAACAAGTGTTGACGAGGGTGTGGAGAAAAGGGGACTCTAGTACACTGCTGGTGGGAATGCAGACTGATGCAGCCACTATGGAAAACACTATGGTGTTACCTCAAAAAATTAAAAATTGAATTGCCATTTGGCCCAGTAATCCCACTTCTAGGAATATACCCTAAGAAGCTTGAAACACCAATCAGAAAGAATATATGTACCCCCATGTTTGTAGCAGCACTATTTACAATAGCTAAGATCTGGAAACAGCCCAAGTGTCCATCAGTAGACTAATGGATAAAAAAGCAGTGGTACATATACACAATAGAGTACTATGCTGCTGTAAGAAAGAAAGATTTCTTATCCTTTGAGATGACATGGAGGGACCTGGAAAGTATTATCCTAAGCAAAACAAGCCAAACAGAAAAAGACAAATACCACATGATCTCATTTATTTGTGGAATATAATGAACATAACAGTCTGAGAAACAGGGTAGACTCAGAAACATGGAAGTAGGGTACAGACTGACAACCCTCAGAAGAGGGGGTGGTGGGGGGGAGGGAAGAGATACACCACAGACCTTATATGCATGTACGTATAACCAATGGACACGGAAAACAAAGTTGGGGACAGGGTGGTGGGGATGAGGAGGAGGGTGTCAATGGGAAATAAAAGGAGAAACATCTGTAACAAAAATAAAATAATAAAAAAATAAAAATAAAAATGTTTTACCTTCAGGGAAAGGATTAACTAGAATAAATCTTCCCACAGACTTTTGAATACAGTATTTGTACTGTATATTTCCAGAGGTATATATTTAAAGGACAAAAAAAACTGCAAACAAATCTTAAATTTTATTTAATGTTTTATCATTAGTAGTAATATATCATAGTGTTATTAGTAGTAATATTTTATTAATATTACATAATAAAGCAAATCCGTAAATAACATTTTTTAGAAACTAAAACTTTTAGTTTAGAAGAAAGATATATATGTCTGAAATCTTATGAGAAAGAACCCTTTTAATATTATATTTGAATTGAAGATGTCAATATGAACTCATGTTGTAAAAAACAAAACCTCCTAGCTCTATCCAGTGAAAAGACCTAGAAGTAATGACTCCACACTAGCAGTAAACACACCTAGTTCTTACATTTTGGTTTCTAACTACCACTCTCTACCATAAAGATTCAGGTCCTTTTAGAGAAATAACTAATTCTACATTGTACAGTAAGACCAGAAATGAAAATTAAAAGGATTGGAAATGAAGGAAAAAAACTGCTATTATTTATAGACAGTACAGTTTACATAGAAAAACCAAGACAGCAAGAATAATAATAATAGGAATATTAAGAGTTCAGCAAGGTTGCTGGATAAAAATTATTGATATATAAAAATGAAAACAATATGCAATTATTATAAATTGTGTAGTTTTAATCTCAAAGAAATAAAATACTTTGGAAATAAATCTGACAAAATTGACATACCTATTTTAAATAGCAGTTTAGCATTCTTAAATGAATTTGGACTATTCAGGAATTATGCTAGTGATTATATACAAGAGACACATTCTCTCACTATTCACAGAAGACCCAATACTTTTTTTTCTAAAATGTATTAAACATTGTTTTAGGCACTGAGGATTTAGCAGCAAATAAGCATAGGAATGTTCAGCAGTTTTCATAATAGCCAAACATTGAAAAAAATGTAAGTGTCTATCAACAGGAGAATGAATAAATTGACTACATTCATACAATGGAAATGCTGTGTAGCAGTTAAATAAATAAGAGATGCATTTATCAGCATGAAAAAACTAAGTAGTATTACATGAAAAAAGCAAATTGAATATAGATACGTATGATATGATAATATGTGAATAATGTAAAATGATAGTATATATTACCTGTGGATATATACATACATTGTAAAAGTGAAAAAAATGGGTATTGAAATAACATCAATTTGAAGGTGGTAGAAATCTCTGTGGAGAGGATGGAAATGGGATTTATGAGGGACTACATGGGGGCTTCATTTGCATCTATTTTATTAAACTGGCTGTCACGCAATGAGTGCTCATTATGTTTTGTATGCCTAAAATAGTTTATAGTAATTTAAATTATGTTTATAGTGTTATACAGTTAAATGATATGAAATAAAATGTTTTGAAAAATGCTATATAAAAATCTAAGTTATTGGAGGTGGTTCATTAAACTTTCCTCCTTTCTCTACAGTATGCTAAAAATGAGGAATCCTTGATGCTAAAATTAATACCTGATACCTAAAGGAAACCTCCCTTTCTCAGAGTAAAATCTAGCACATATCGTCCATTTCTAGAAATGTTCTGCTTTTCTAGGTTTTGGTTTGTTTTTTTTATTTCTCACCTGAGGATATTTTTCTATTTTATCATCAGATAGAATGGGAGGGAGGAAGGGAGAGAGGGACAGAGAGAAACATCGATGTGAGAGGGACACATCGACTGGTTGCCTCCCGTACGACCCGACCAGGGCCAAGGACGAACCACAACTGAAGCATGTGCCCTTGACCGGAATCGAACCTGCGACTCATTGTTTCATGGGTGTATGCTGTTAACCGCTGAGCCAAACTGGCCAGGGCCTGCTTTTCTAAGTTTTGAAATTTATTTTTATGTGCTTTTATAACTCATCTATTAATGTGTGTTACTCTCACTGACACTAAAGAGTGATACATATTGTTAAGAATGAAATGTCACTCTGTAATAGGCCTCAGTTACCAACTGACCTACTGATGTTAAAATTAAATGACCTTGTCATCTTTTCCAGATAAATGCAGTGCGTGCAATAGTTCCCAATAAGAGCAACAATGAAATCATCCTGGTTTTGCAGCACTTTGATAATTGTGTGGACAAAACAGTACAAGCATTTATGGAAGGTAATCCTATTCAGCTTTTTAATAAGTTTGTGCTTGTTCAAATAGAAGTTGCTTCAGATTTCTATAAGCAACCTGGTGTTTCATAGATGATACAGTAGACCCCATGATAATATAACATACCTTGCCATTTTAAAACGACATCTTATTGTTGAGTAGCTACATCAGATTAGGTCTCCCTGTTTCTGTTTTTCTGCCAGTATAGAATAAACAAGTCCAAATACTGTTAGGTTTTTCTTCATTGTCATCTGTTTTCTTTATAATGTTAGCATTTGGGTGTAGGGCAATGTACAGCTCTCTAAAACAACGTAGCTGAAGTAGTGTGTAATCTTCTGAAGGAGAGAGGATGACATACTTGGGTTGAAACCACTCATCTTTGTATTTGGTCTAAGTTATATAAATAAAAGAATTTCAAAATGGTCAGGCTACATTAATCTCTTCTTAGAAGAACTACTGAGGAAATTACATAGAGAAGGGGAATCTAAATGGGCAGGCATTCCAAAAGATAAGCATGATATGATTGTTTCATTACATTAGTTCAGAGACTTGAACCTTAATTTTTTCTGTTAAGAACTTTAGAAATTCTCCAGCAATTATAAAATGCAGGGGCACTAATTCCTGCTTGACCATGCATGTGCTAGGAGAGAAAATCTATAATTGGTTTCTCTTACAGGTAGTGCCAGTGAAGTACTCAAAGAATGGACAGTAACAGGCAAGAAAAAGGTAAAAATGAATTAAATTTAAAAGCATGATATTGATATAATAAAAATATCTAGGCTGTGCAAAAAATATTTGAAAGGAGAAATTTACATATGCTTCTTCAGTTCATCTGGTTTAAAAAAGTTTTCTGTGACACTGAAACACAGCTGTGTACATAGAATACCATACAATTTCCTCCATGTGATTTAAGACAGGAAACAGAATGACCCTGCCATGGTGGAGCTGTTGAGGGTATATTAATATTAGGCAGGCATGAAACAAGAGAGTATGTCAAGGAAAGCAGAGCTGCACTAGAGAAAAGTGATCTAGTCCAGTGATTTCCAACATCATTCTTACCATAGATCAGTTAAAATAGTTTAGATTTTTAGGTCAGACAACTGTGTTTTAGTTTCTGATATTAATGAGCTTTGACTTAAAGCCCAAAGAGGGTCTTTGCTGCTAGTAGTGATACAGAGGGGTCTGATGTTCCAGTTTAGAGAGGGAAAGGCACTTGGGCTGTGGAGTCGATCAGAATGGGATTTATATTTTGTTCTACTTACTGGCTTTGTGACCTGGGAGTATTGTTTAACCTTTATGTGCCTTACTTTTCTCATCTCTAAAATAGGAAAATTAATAGTAACAAATACCAGTACCTAATTTCTGACATACTAGTTCTCATTTCCTTCTCCTTGTCCACTTAAAACCAAAATGCTCTCCCCAAAGGGTACTAGCTGATCTCAAAAGGCTTCCCACAGCTCTGTACTCTAAATCTAGCTCCTTTAGGAAATGCTTGAAGTATGAATTTTAATCAGGTATCTATCTCTATGTGAAATCTCTTTGGAAAATTATTTTTCTATATCAGGTTAGTACTGGGGTTCTGAAATACTTTCTTGATAACTCTATTTTTTATTATTATTTTTTGTACAGATAGAGTGGGAGGGAGAGGAAGAGAGAGAGAGAGAGAAACATCGACGTGAAAGGGACACATCGAGTGGCTGCCACCCGCACGACCAACCAGGGCTGGGGACAAACTGCAACCGAGGTACATGCCCTTAGCGGGAACCGAACCCAGGTCTCTCTGGACCGCAGGCCGACGCTCTAACCGCTGAGCCAAACCCGCCAGGGCTCTTGATAACTCTAAATCACTTTTTTAGAACATCTATTAAGTCTTGACCAAACCAGGCTTGGCCCCAATGATCCTTGAGAGTTTTTTCCCAAGGAGAACCTTAATATTACTACAGATTTCCCTGAAGCTCTCCATACCTTTAGCTTTGAATATTTGCTTAAACTTCTTCCCATTGCTTTCACCTAACATAAATAGCTCTGTGTGCTCTGGAGAATACCAGTTTATTAACTTATTAATGCAGGATAGTAGTTTATTTAGTTATGTGATATATGCTTGAAACTGGAAAAAGTATGTGTTGGAGACACATAAAATTTAGAGAAAGAAAAATGGCTTCTGTTTGGCAGTCCTAAATGCCCCAGTGCAGTCCAGTTAACTGTTGGGATTGGTTCGATAGGATGTCACCAGGAGCAGTTACTGGGACAGTTATTTATCCAGTTCACATGGGAGAAAATATTTAAGAGAAAGAAAGATGAGAGCTGTGGAGAGAAGAAAATTATGTCTAGAGTCCCAGTAGTGTTCCTGTTAGGGTCATGAGAAGGGTTTGGGGAAAAATTGATTCAGTCATGTCAGTCTAGCCTTAGGAATAGAATTAAGTATTACCAGAAGAGCTGTGGTTTGTCAAAATAAAAGGTAAAGGACTTTTTTGTTTGTTTTAATTTTATTGTTTGCCTAGGTAAATATTCATATGGCTCCAAATTCAAAAATACAAAAGTTAATGCACTGAAATGTCTTTATCCTATCCCTATTCCCCAGCCATTTGGTTCCCCACTCCAGAAGTAAACAGTATTATCAGTTTCTTATTTATCTTCCAGGATGTTTTATGCATATATGAACAAATATGAGTATATATATTCTCTTCTTTGCTTGCTTTTTATTTTTATTTTATTTATTTATTTTTTTAATCCTCATCCGAGGATATTTTTCTATTTATCTTCAAATAGAGTGGGAGGGAGGGAGAAAGAGAGAAACATCAATGTGAGAGGGACACATTGACTGGTTGCCTCCTGCACAACCTGACCAGGGCTGGGGACAAACCACAACCAAGGTAGGTGCCCTTGTCCAGAATCGAACCTGCGACTCGTTGGTCCATGGGCTGATGCTCCAACCACTGAGCCAAACCAGCCAGGGCTTTGCTTACTTTTTATTTTATTTTATTTTATTTTTTTTTATCTTCACTCGACGGCATTTTTCCATTTTTTGTTCAGATAGAGTGGGGAGGGGAGAGAGAGAGAGAAACATCAACGTGAAAGGGACACATCGAGTGGCTGCCTCCCGCACGACCCAACCAGGGCCGGGGACAAACTGCAACCAAGGTCCATGCCCTTAGCGGGAACCGAACCCAGGTCTCTGGACCGCAGGCCGATGCTCTAACCGCTGAGCCAAACCAGCCAGGGCTTTGCTTGCTTTTTAAAAACAATTTTATTGTTCTTATTAATCCTCACCTAAGGATATTTTTTTTATTGATTTCTTTAGATAGAATGGAATGGAGGAAGGGGGGAGAGAGAGAGAGAGAAAGAGAAAGAAACATCACATCGATTGGTTTTCTCCTGCACGACCCAGACCAAGGCCAGGGATTGAATCTGCAACCCAGGTATGTGCCCTTGACCAGAAATCAAACCCGCGACCCTTGGGTCCCAGGGCCAATGCTCTAACCGCGGAGCCAAAAAGGTCAAGGCTAATTGCTTTTTTAAAAATATGTTTTTATTTATTTTTTTAGAGAGAGAGGAAGGAAAGAGAGAGATAGAACATCGATGTGTGAGAGAAATAATGATTGGCTGCCTTCTCCTGCACTCCGCCCACTGGGGATCAAGCCAGCAACCCAGGCATCTGCCCTGACCAGGAATTGAACTGGGAACTATCAGTCCATGCGTTGACACTCAATCCACTGAGCCACACTGGCGGGGCTGGGCTGCTTGCTTTTTAAATGTAATGTATTTTGGAACTTCATGTCAGTATATAAAGCATTTTCTTGTTTTTATGGATGTGTAGTTATCCTACTGTTTGGATGTACCATAACTAACTTAACTAGTCCTTTTATTGATCAACATTTTGGTTTCCAATTCTTTGCTATTATTATTAATACTTCAATGAATCTTGTACATATATCATTTTGTACATATATCATGTTAGTATCGCCGAGAATAAATTCTTAGAAGTGGGATTGCTGGGTCAAAGGGTATGTGCATTTGTAATTTTGATAAGTATTGCCAGATTACTATAGGGAGTACTATCTTGTACTCCCACAAGTAATATAGGAAAATGCCTGTTTCTCCATACCTTCAACCCTGTCAGCCCTACAGTGTTTTAAAACTTTTTCACCTTTGCTAGTCTAGTAGATAAATAATATTGTAGTACATTGTTTTTTTTTCAAAAGTTTCTTACTGTAGAAAACATATAATTGACCATTTTAACCATTTTTAAGTGTATAGCTTGGTAATACATTCATAATGTTGTACAACCATCACTACCACCCATCTCCAGAACTCTTTTTTTTTTTTTTTGGCTTTTATTCTAAGCCAATATCAGAAATAATTTGCCAATGAAGTCTTTATATTTTACTTTATTTTTATTGAGAATAACTGACACATATAACATTATATTAGTTTCTCATCTATAACATAATGATTTAATATTTGCATGTATTGTGAAATAAGTTTAGTTAACATCCATCACTATCCATGGTTATAAATTTTTTTCTTATGATGAGAACGTTTAAGATCTGCTCCTATAGCACTTTTAAACATTCATCTCAAGAACTCCTTTCATCTTATAAAACTGAAACTCTGTACCAATTAAAAACTAATTCCTGCCCTGGCCAGTTTTTCTCAGTGGTTAGAGCATCGGCCCACGGACTGGAGAGTCCTGGGTTTGGTTCCTGCTAAGGGCATGTACCTTGGTTGCAGTTTGTCCCTGGCCCCGGTTGGGGTTGTGTGGGTGGCAGTCAGTTGATGTGTCTCTCTCACATTGATTTTTCTCTCTCTCCCTTCCCCACTTTCTCCCTCCCGCTCTATCTGAAGATAAATGCAAAAAATGTCCTTGGGTGAGGATAAAAAAAAAAAAAAAGTAATTCCTCATTTTCCCTTCCTCCTGGTCCCTGGCAACCACCAATTCTACTTTCTGTTTCTATGATTTTGACTACTCTAGTACCTCATATAAGTGGAATCATACAGTATTTGTCTTTTTATGACTGGCTTATTTTGCTTAGCATAATTCTCAAGGTTACATCCATGCTGTAGTATATTGCAGAATTTCTTTCCTTTTACAGGCTGAATAATATTCCATCGTGTGTGTGTCCATTGCTGGACGCTTGGGTTGCTTCCATGTTTTAGCTATTGTGAATAATGCTGCTGTGATCATGGGTACACAAATATGTCTTTGAGACACTGCTTTCAATTTTTTAGGGCATATACCCAGAAGTGTAATTACTGGATCATATGGTAATTCTAGTTTTAATCTTTAGAGGAACTGCCATACTGTTTTTTACATCAGCTGTACCATTTTACATTCCCACCAACAGTGTGAAAGAGTTCCAATTTATACACCTATATCCTTGTCAATACTTCTTGTTTACTGGTTTTTCTGATAGTAGCCATCCCGATGTGTGTGAGATAGTTTTGACTTGAATTTTCCTAATGATTAGTGATGTTGAGCATCTTCTCATGTGCTTGTTGGCTATTTGTATATCTTCTTTAGAGAAATGTTATTTAAGTTCTTTGCCCATATTTTAATTGTTATTTGTTTTTTTGTTTTTGACTTTAGGTATTCTTTATATATTCTGGACATTAATCCCTTATCAGATATATGATTTGCAAATATTTTCTCCCATCCTGTGGGTAGCCTTTTTACTGTGTTGATAACAGTGTCTTTTGATGCACAATTTAAAACAATTTTTCATGAAGTCCAATTTGTCTGTTTTTTTCTTTTATACCTTTGGTGTCATATCTAAGAAATCATTACTAAATTCACTGTTGTGATGCTTTTGTGTTACATTTTCTTCTAATAGTTTTAGGTCTTACATTTAGGTCTTTGATTCATTCTCAGTTAATTTTTGAACATAGCATTGGGTAAAGGTCCAACTTTATTCTTTTGCATGTGGATATTCCAGTTTCCCAGCACCATTTATTGAAAAAACTGTCCTTTCCCCATTGAATGGTCTTGGTACCCTTGTCAAAAATCATCTGACAGCCTTGGCCGTTTAGCTCAGCGGTTAGAGCATCAGCTCTCTGACCGAAGGGTTGCGGGTTTGATTCCCAGTCAAGGGCACAAAGCTGGGTTGCAGATTTGTCCCTGGTCCTGGTCAGAGCCATGCAGGAGGCAACCAACCGATATGTCTCTTTCACATTGCTGTTTCTCCCTCTCTTCCTCCCTCCCTTCCACTTTATTTTTTTTAAAAAGTGGAAAAGTGTCCTCTGGTGATGATTAATAACAACAACAACAAATCATTTGACCATTCATGTGAGAGTTAGTTTCTGGGCTCTCTGTCCTGTTCCATTGGTCTAGGTGTCTGTCTTTATGCCACACTGTTTTGTTTTGTTTTTTTAAATGGGTTTTCCCTATTATTTTATTTATATTTTATCCTCACCTGAGTACATTTTTGCATTTATCCTCAGATAGAGTGGGAGGGAGAGAAGGAGGAAGAGAGAGAGAGAAACATTGACATGAGAGAGACATATCAAATGGTTGCCACCCACATGAGCCCATCCGGGGCCGGGGACAAACTGCAATCGAGGTACGTGCCCTTAGCGGGAACTGAGCCCAGGACTCTGGTCTGTGGGCCGACTCTCTAACCGTTGAGACAAACTGGCCAGGGCTATGCCACACTGTTTTGATTTTGGTAGCTTTGTAGTAGGGTTTGAAACCAAGGAGTGAGAGTCCTCCAGTGTTGTTCTTTTTTTTCCCTAAGATTGTGTTGACTATTTGGGGTCGCTCAAGATTTCCATATGAAGTTAGATGGGTTTTTCTGTTTCTGCAAAAAACATCATTGGGATTTTAATGGAGATTACATTAAATCTGTAGATCACTTTGGGTAGTATTGACATTTTAACAATATTAAGCCATCCAATCCATGAACATGGAATGTGTTTCTGTTTATTTATGTTGTCTTTAATTTTTATCAACAGTGTTTTATAATTTTTATTGCATAAGTGTTTTACCACCTTGGTTAATTTAATTCCTAAGTATTTGATTTTTTTTATGCTACTACTGTACATATGGAATTATTTTTCTAATTTCCTTTTCAGATTGTGTGCTCATGTATAGAAATGCAACTTGACAGAAATGTGTATTAACTTTATATCCTGACACTTTATTGAATTAGTCAGTTTTAACAGTTTTTTGTGGACTCTATTGTTTTTCTATTCTGTTTCATTTATCTCTGCTCTAATCTTTATTTCCTTCCTTCTGCTAGCTTTGGGTTTTGTTCTTATTGTTCTAGTTCCTTAAGTTGTAAAGTTAGGTTGTTCATTTGAGATCTTTCTTGTTTTTATTTTTATTTTATTTTTTTATCCTCACCCTAGAACATTTTTCCATTTTTTGTTCAGATAGAGCGGGAGGGAGAGAGAGGAAGAGAGAGAGAGAGAAACATCAATGTGAAGGGATACATCGAGTGGCTGCCACCCGCACGACCAACCAGGGCCGGGGACAAACTGCAACCGAGGCACGTGCCCTTAGTGGGAACTGAACCCGGGTCTCTCTGTACCGCAAGCTGACACTCCAACCACTGAGCCAAACCGGCCAGGGCTCTTTCTTGTTTTTAATGTAAGCATTTATAGCTATAAATTTCCCCCTTGGCACTGCTTTCACTGCATCCCATAAGTTTTGGTATGTGTACAGATGGACCCCAACTTGCAATGGTTTGGCTTATGATTTTTTTTATTTTGGGATTGTGGGAAAGCAGTAGCATTCAGTAGAAACCATACTTTGAATTTTGATATTTTCCCAGACCAGCCAATATGTAGTGTACATTCTCGTGATGCTGGGCAGCTGCAGCTCCCAGTCAGCCACCTGATAATGAGGGTAAACAACATTGTATTCACTATATTAGATGATATTGCCCAACTATAGGTTAATGTTAAGTGTTCTGAGCCTATTTAAGGTATGGTAGGTGGAGCGACAAATTCCCAGTGCTTCCTCCTCTGCTATGGTCCCAGAATCCTCTGCGGTGCAATTTTAATATATGTCTCTTATTACTGGGGTTGCATTTCATTTCATATGCTTATATCCTATACCATTGTTTTTCTCTCTCTCTTTTTTTTTCTTTATTGATGTGAGAGAGAGAGAGGAAAGGAGAGGGAGAGAGAGATAGAAACATCAATGAGAGAGAACATCCATTGGCCACCTCCTGCATGCCCCCCATTGGGGATCAGGCCCACAACACCGGCGTGTGCCCTGACTGGGAATCGAACATGTGACCTTTTGGTGCATAAGTTGATGCTCAATCACTGAGCCACACCAGCCGGGTGTATACCATTGTTTTCTGTTGGGTTATTGTTTGTTTTGTTTTTGTTAGAGATCTCTATATATTTAGCTCTTTATATATAAATTGCACATATTTTTTCACATTTTGTAATTTATCTTTTGATTTTGCTTATGGTGGGTTTTACTATGCATACATTTATTATATTTATGTGTTTGAGTTTATCAAAGTATTTTACATAGTTATTTTAGTTAGTTATTCAACATATACAGAAATGTGTTCAATTTATGGAAGAGTGTATGAAAACTTGGTAACATTGGTTGCCTTTGGGTAGCTAGAGTTACCTCTCTGTTGGGGTGTCTTCTCTTTCTTTTTAAATCTGTAACAACCATTAGAACAAAAAGAAGAAAAGCAAGCCAAAACCTGCAGTAGAAGCAAGTAACAGTATCCCAGATTCCAGTAAATCAGTTTCCATTCAAGAAGAGCAGTCCGCGCCTTCTTCAGAAAAAGGTGATATTAATGGTTACCATGTTAACGGTGCCATCAATGATACTGAGTCTGTGGACTCACTCAGTGAAGGTATGGAGACACTTTCAGTAGATGCCAGAGAATTGGAGGATCCTGAGTCTACCATGCCTGACATGCTGGACAGAACAGGTGAGTTTATTAACAGGTCTTTGAAAAGTTACATTCTCGGTTAGGGGCTTCCTGAAAGCAATCAATAAATTAAATCTAGTTCCTCTCTTACTTTTTTTTTAATCCTCACTCAAGGATATTTTTCTATTTATTTTTTTCAGATAGAGAAAAAGAGAGAGGGAAACATCGATGTGAAAGAGAGACATCAGTTTCTTACCTCCCCCATGTCCCTAACTGGGCTGGGGATCAAACCCAAAACCGAGTTATGTGCCCTTGACCAGGAATCAAACATGTGACTCTTCAATCCTTGAGCTGATGCTCTAAACACTGAGCCAAACTGCCCAGGGCTAAATTGTACACATTTTAAGGGAAATTTTTGTAATGAGTTGATATTGATATTATTCTAAGATCCAACACAATGAAAATATATAATAGTAACTGTAAATCTATGGCTTTCATGAGAAGTAGACTGTTGGTTTTTTATAGTCTCACATTTGTTTTCTAATAAAGAGTTAAGATTAGTGTTGTAAATTCACGTATTTTGTATATTTTCTTTTTTTTATTAACCATTTTGATGAGTGCCGGGAAGATATTAGGAATATCTCTTTTAAAATAGGTTTTTAAATTACTTGTTTGTAATCCAGTTCACCTTGCTCTGTTGTGCTGGCTTTATAAATGTAGTGGCAATTTAGGAATTATGCTGTTCTTTCTTATGTTCTTTTATTGATTAGTTTGCACAAACACAAAAAGAGAAAAACATAATGCCTAAAGTGATCTCAGACAAACTAAAGATAGTCAGTGGCTTCAATTTTTTTTTGGAGCTAGCTCTCTCGTTTTCTAACTCTTTATCCTTTCTGTTCCCTAAAGCTTTTAAAACTCTTCATGCCCTAGGACAGTGTAAAGTCTTTTTTCCTCAACGTAACTTATAGAAGCTATCAGAAATTGGTGATATTGACTCTGTTCACTTCCTTGTGCCCAGAGCTACAAGGAAGCTACCAAGCTACAAGGAACAAGCTAGCCTATCTAGAGATGAGTTAACAGAGACTTCTTCATTCAGGACCCTGCCTAGAGCTAAGCCAGAGAGTCTCCTTCTGCTGATTCTGCTCAGTTGATTTTGTTCACAGCCATTTAAGAAACGTCAAGCGAGGGGGACGGGGGGGGGGGGGGGCAGTTTACAAAGAAACATAGTTTTGCCTAAAATATCTTTACCCTCTTTCTTTGTGTACATTTAAGACTGCCTGATTGTTTTAACCTTAAATCTTTCTGAAACACTGTTTCCTTGACAGGTTCCATGCTGGAAAATGGTATCTCTGATTTTGAGTCCAAGTCTTTGATTATGAACCCTACTCAGAATTCTCAACAAAATAGGAATGCTGCCAAATCTTTCTCAAGACCCCAGTTTTCAAATCTGGGCATGGAAGATGTTCCACTTTCCTCCACCAACAAGAAGCTAGGTAAATAGAGGCCTGGCCTGCCTTTTATGTGGTTTTGGCTGTGGAGGGCAATTACCTTTTTGTACTCATAGATAAAGTGTGAGAAGGTTCTGTAGATAATCTTTTTCCTGTTGTCCAGTCAGTGACTATCCAGTTCTTACCTGACTGTGTACACAGTTGGAGTCTAATAGTATGTTCAGATGCTATATAGTCTTGTTACAATAGTGGGGATTTATTTTGTGAATGAAAATCAAACTTTACTGCCAGGATGACTTTTATGCTACCATTAATCTGTTTCTTTTACTTGTTTTATTGCAATGTTTTTGTGGTGTTTTCATCATTTTTATCTCCTGGTTGACTCAATAGTAAAAAGCTCTGCCATCTCTGACATGATAGTTGAAAGAAATGTTTTCATTTCTCTTCACTTCATGCTCTTACTAAAATCTTTCAGACTCTAGCTTTAAACAAGATAATTATGCCCTGGCTGGTTTGGCTCAGTAGTTGGAGCGTCAGCCTGCGGACCAAGGAGTCTCGGGTTCAGTTCTCCGTCAGGGACACATACTTGGGTTGCAGGTTTGATCCTCAGCCCTGGTCGGGGTGGTGCAGGAGGCAGCCAATTGATGTGTCTCTCTTGCATTGATGTTTCTCTCTCTCCCTCTCCCCCCCCTTCCATTTTATCTGAAAATTAATGGAAAAATTGCTTGAGTGAGGATTAACCAAAAAATAAAAAAAAGATAATTTTCTCTTATGTATTTATTAGCATTGACTAGAGGTAGCTTTTTGCTTTTTTGAAATTTAACTATAATAGTCATTTAAATAATCAGTCAATAACTAAACAAATAGAGATAATAGCCCTTTTGAGTATTATACACCTAAACATGGTGGTTCATTCCACTAAACAAATTAAACATAGAAATGTAAGACACTTGTAACCTGTAGCTCTTTACTGAATTATTTATTCCACGTGAACTAAATTTAATCAATGAAGCTCTCCTTTTTCATCTTTTTAACATAATAACCCTCAGCTTGGTGCAGAAAAGCAAGTCTGAGACTATTCAGTCAAACAAAATAAAGTCACAAGGCTTGAAAGCTTTTGGGTAGATTTTAAAAGAAGTCAAGTAATGAATTTGATGACAGCAGTTTTAGAAACTACCCAAAATGAAATGCAGAGAAAAACACTAAATAAAAAAAACCTATCTGAATAGGTACCAAATTTTCAAAACAGTTAATGATAGGATTTAGAACATAATTCACCATGTAAACAATGCAAATGTGGAAAACTTCTCTGTAGTACAGTTTGAAGCATTATAGATAAAAATAAAATATATTTACCTACCCAACACAATTTTAACCAGTTTCTAAAGTTCTACTAACTTTTGTATACTCAACCAATGTCAAAGTTATATATACAATTGATAGTTGGAATCACAGATTTTAGAAGTTTATAATGTGCTGATACAGATTTTAAAATTGTGTTTCTAAAATTGCTGTCTTCAAATTCATCCCTTTTTTAACAGTTTTTAATCTTCTGTTAATCCCACCTAGTGTATTTTTCATCTCAGATAATTTCTTTTTTTTTTTTTATTTGTAGAGACTCAGTTGGGGTCTTTTAAAATATCTTCCGTATCTCTTTTTAACATGCTTATACTTTCCTCTACCTTCTTGAACATATGGCATCTCATTATATTAACTGTTTTGATGCCATATCTACTTGATTCTGCATCTGTTTCTGTTAATTGACTTGTCTCTTCATTATGGGTCATATTTTTCTGCCTCTTATATGTCTAGTAATTTTTTTTATTCTCATCTGAGAGGATATGTTTTTATTGATTTTTGAGAGAGAGAGGAAGGGAAGGGGGGCGGAGAGAGAGAAGCATAGATGTGAGAGAAACATTGATTAGTTGCCTTTGATGCATGCACCCTGACCAGGAATCGAACCTACAAACTTTTTGGGGGTATGGGATGACATTCCAACCAACTGAGCCACCCAGCCCGGGCTGTCTAGTAATTTTTTACTGGATGACAGATATTGTAAATTTTGCTTTGTTGATTGCTGGATTTTGTTGTTGTTAATCCTCACTCAAGGCTATTTTTCCATTGATTTTTAGATAGAGTAGGAGGGAGGGAGGAGAGAGAGAGAGAGAGAAACATTAACATGAGAGCGACACATCTGTTGGTTGCCTCCTGCACAATCCTGACTGGCGCCAGGGATTGAACCTTCAATCCAGATAGGTGCCCTTGACTGGGATTCAAACCCACATTCATTTGGTCTGAGGGCCAACACTCTAACTGCTGAGCCAAACCAGCCAGAGTGATTGCTGGATATTTTTGTACTTTTAAAAATGTTCTTGTGAATTGTTCTGGGACTATTATTTGGAAACAGTTTGAGACTAGCTTTTAAGCTTTGGTAGGTGGTACTAGGGCAACCTTTATTCTAGAGCTAATTTTGCCTCATTACTGTGCACTTCCAAGTACTGTACCTCATGTCCCACACTGGCTGATGTGAAAATGAAATATTTGCCCTGGCTGGTGTGGCTTGGTTGGAACATCATCCCGTACACCAAAAGGTGGCAGGTTCGATTTCTGGTCAGGGTACATAAGCAGGTTGTGGGTTCAATCTCTGGTCGGGGCATGTGCAGGAGGCAACAGATCGATGCCTCTCTCTCTCTCTCTCTCTCTCTCTCTCTCTCTCAAATCAATTTAAAATTTTTTTAAAAAGAAAATAACTATTCATGGCCTGGGGATTGTTCCACCTGCTCCTTTCCAGTGGTTTTGGTTCTTTTCCTGTCTTGGATAGTTTCCTCACACTCATGCATTCAGAATCCTCTGTAGATCACTGTACAGCACTCTCATCTTTTTGTAGCTCTCTCCTCTCTAGTACTCTGCCTTGAGAATTCTAACTGTGGCCTCCCTGAATTCTCAGTGCTGTCCCCTCAAGGGAGACTTCCAGGCTCAGTTTAGAATCTCTCTTCCTTGCATTGCAGCCTAGAAACTCTCTTGGGGCAGTCATGGGCCTCACTTCTTTTATTTCTGTTTTCATAGGGAAAAAGTACTGCCTATTGTCCCCTGTCTGAAAACCATTGTTTCAGATATTGTGTGTGTGTGTGTGTGTGTGTGTGTGTGTGTGTTGTGTAAGGACGGTAAATCAAATTCCTATTACTTTATCTTGGCAAGGATACTTATTATTTTTTAAAAATCTATGAAAACAGCGGTTATTTGTTGAAGAGGGTGGCCTGTTAGGAAACATTCTTCATACACACATTTGTTACTTTACCTGCTTAGGTGTTTAGATCCATTTTTCAAATTACCTAGACTTTATTTTTTTATTTTATTTATCTTTATTGTTGAGAGTATTACAGATGTTTCCCCGTTGTTCCCTATTCACCCCCTTCTCCCCACTCTTGCCCCCATCCTGCCTTCCCCACACTATTGTCTGTGTCCATTGGTTATCTATACTTTTTTTTTTTTAAAATTATTTTTAGAGAGAGAGGAAGGGAGAGAGAAAGAGAAACATAGATGTGAGAGAGATACATCAGTCAGCTACCTCTTGCATGCCACCTACTGGGGATCGAGCCTGCAATCAAAGGATGTGCCTTGACTGGGAATCAAACCGGGAACTCTCAGTCCACGGGACAGTGCTCAGTCCACTGAGATGCACTGGCCAGGCTAGTTAGCTATAAATTTTTTTTAATCCTCACCTGAGGATTATTTTTTTCTATTTATTTTCAGATAGAGTGGGAGGGAGGAGTAGAGAGAGAGAGAGAGAAACACCAATGTGAAAAAGACACATCAGTTTGTTGCCTCCCGCACAACCCCAACCAGAGCCAGGGACTGAACCACAACCAAGGTGCATGCCTTTGACTGGAATTGAACCCGTGACTAAACTTTGGTCCACAGGCCAACACACTAACCACTGAGCCAAACCAGCCAGGGCTAGTTACCTATACTTTTAAAGATTAATCTTTGGGGTTTTTTCCCCCAAGGTTCCAATATTGAAAAATCTGTGAAAGACCTCCAGCGCTGTACAGTGTCTCTTGCACGATATCGAGTTGTAGTTAAAGAAGAGATGGATGCTTCCATTAAGAAAATGAAACAAGCTTTTGCTGAATTGCAGAGCTGGTAAGTTAAGTTGCATTTGATATCAGTAGCACAGAAATTATTATTTATAAAATGGTCAGCCATTCACCAAGTTACTTTAAAATTCTATGATAGACTTAGCTTTCTGCTTTGTTCTACTTCTTTCAGTCATAATGTGGGAATGAGTGGGACAGAGAACTCATAATGCTCTAAAAATGAGCCTAAGGTTAATGTTGTTTAGAAAGGGACAAATAATTATAGAGTAGATAATGCATTCTTACTTTAGGGTCTGTAAACAATGACATGATTTTTGTGAATAAAATTGTCAAGTAGAAAAGATCAGTCCCCCCTAAGAAGCCTGAAACACCAATCAGAAAGAATATATGTACCCCCATGTTTGTAGCAGCACTATTTACAATAGCTAAGATCTGGAAACAGCCCAAGTGTCCATCAGTAGACAATTGAATAAAAAAGCAGTGGTACATATACACAATGGAGTACTATGCAGCTGTAAGAAAGCAAGATCTCTTATCCTTTGAGACAACATGGAGGGACCTGGAAAGTATTATCCTAAGCAAAACAAGCCAAGCAGAAAAACACAAATACCACATGATCTCTCTTATTTGTGGAATATAATGAACATAATAGTCTGAGGAATAGGGTAGACCCAGAAACATGGAAGTAGGGTACAGACTAACGAACTTCAGAAGAGGGGGTTGTGGGGGAGAGAAGAGATAAACCACAGAACTTATATGCATGTACGCATAACTAATGGACACAGACAACAAAGCTGGGTACAGGGTGGTGGGGATGGGGAGGAGGGTGTCAATGGGGAAAAAAAGGAGAAACACCTGTAACAAAAATAAAATAATAATGAAAAAAAAAATTTTTAATAAAATGTTGGAAAAAAAAAAAGATCAGTCTTTGTTTTCCTACCTCCTTTTATCCTTCCTATAGTACCCCACCCTAATAGTCTCTTTGTGCTCTATTATCTATCAGTCATTGATTTGTTTTCTTTTTTTTTCCAAACTGTGTCCTAAAGATACTCATATCTAAAAATATATTAATACATATTCTATAGGGGAAATACAGTTTGGTAGTTGAAGAGTTTTGAAAATACTTTTTTTTCTTTTTCTTTTTTTTCTTTCTTTAACTTATTTTTATTGTTGAATGTATTACAGATGTCCGCCCCCCCTTTTTTCCCATTGAACCCTCCTCCCTAATCCTGCCCCCCTCCTGCCTTCCCCACTCTATTGTTTGTGTCCATTGGTTATGCATATATGCATAGAAGTTCTTTGGTTTATCTCTTCCTGCCGTTTCCCCCTTCGCTTTGAGGTTCATCAGTCTAATAACCAATTTGTACTTCTTAATTCCTTCATCTTTTTCACCCACCCCACCCCCCTAGCCCTCTCCCATTTGGCAAGCAACAAAAAGTTATCTGTATCTATGAGTCTCTTTTGTTCTGTTTGCTCATTTTGTTTGTAGATTCAATTGTTGATAGATATGTATTAATTGCCCTTTTATTGTTCATATTTTTGTTCTTCTCCTTCAAGAAGACTCTTCAACATTTCATATAATACTGGTTTGGTGGTGATGAACTCCTTTAGCTTTTTCTTGTCTGGGAAACTCTTGATATGTCCATCAATTCTAAATGATAGCTTTGCAGGGTAGAGTTTTCTTGGTTGTAGGTCATTGCTTTTCATCACGTTGAATATCTCTTGCCACTCCTTTCTGGCCTGCAAAGTTTCTTTTGAGAAATCGGCTGACAGTCTTATGGGAGCTCCCTTTTAGGTAACTAACTGCCTTGCTCTTGCTGCTTTTAAGATTCTCTCCTTGTATTTAACCTTTGGCATTTTGATGATGATGTGTCTTGGTGTGGACCTCTTTGGGTTCAACTTGTTTGGGACTCTGTGCTTCTTGGACTTGTTTGTCTGTTTCCTTTACCAAGTTAGGGAAGTTTTCTGTCATTATTGTTTCAAATAGGTTCTCAATTTCTTGCTCTCTTCTCCTTCTGGCACCCCTATGATGCGAACGTTGGCACACTTGAAGTTGTCCCAGAGGCTCCTTACATTATTCTTATTTTTTTGGATTCTTTTTTCTTTTTGCTGTTCTGATTGGGTGTTTTCTGCTTCCTTATATTCCAAATCAATGGTTTGCTTCTTGGCTTTACCTACTCTACTATTGATTCCCTGTAAATTGTTCTTTATTTCAGTTAGTGCATCCTTCATTTCTGACTGGTCTTTTTTATGTTGTTGATGTTCTCACTAAGTTCCTTGGAAGTCTCCTTAAGTTTCTTGAAGGTCTCACTAAGTCCCTTGACTGTCTCACCAAGTTCCTTGAGCAACATTGTAACCTGTGTTTTTAACTCTGCATCTGATTCATTGTTTATCTCCATTTGTTTAGTTCTTTTCCTGGAGTTTTGTTCTTTTCTTTCATTTGGGACATGTTTCTTTGTCTCCTCATTTTGGCTGCTTCCCTGTGATTGTTTCTGTGTATTAAGTAGAGTTGCTATGTCTCTTAGGCTTCGTAGGGTGGCCTATTGTTGTAGATGTCCTGTAGGATCCAGTGGCACAGTCTCTCTGATCACCCCAGCTGCGTCCTCGAGGTGCACTCCTAGTGTGGACCGTATACCCTTCTATTGTAATTGAGTGCTGATTGCTGTTGGCATGACAGTGGGAGGGATTTACTCAGGCTGATCAGCTGCAAAGACTGGCTGTGCCCACTAGCCACTGGCCTCTGACTCCCTTGGAGGATCAGCGGTGTAGGGGCCCAACATACAGAGCAAGACTTACTTCAGCAGGGCTGTGGTACTCACTGAGTCCACTTATTGTGCCATTTGTGAAGGTGTTTGGGTGGTGGTGTTTTGATGTGGTCTAAAGCTGTCCACTGGGTGTGCTGGCTCTGGGCAAGGTCAACCACTGCCTGTGTTCTATCCAGGGCCACCCAGCATAAGCTACAAAGTGATCTGCAGATGCTATTTCTTGTGCTGGGCTTGGAGGTGTCCAGGAAAAGCCAAGTTGTGAACCAAGGCTGGCTGCTTTTAGTGCCAGGCCTGGGGCCACTTAACAAGAGGTATGGGGCTTGCTGAGACCAGATGCGGCTTGTTTGAGAGATTTTAGGAAACTCTGAAGCAGGATCCAAGACAGGCCAATCCTATGGTAAAGCCATTGGAAACAGCTTGGTTGGGCCTGAAGATTGGGTGGGGTGGGGCCTCAGGGAATCACCAGGGTGGGGCAAACAGTGTGAGCCAGGTTGCTGGAGGCCCAGATATGGCTGCTTTTAAGATTCTCGTTATCTTTAACCTTTGGCATTTTGATAATGATGTGTCTTGGTGTGGACCTTTTTGGGTTCATCTTGTTTGGGACTGTCTATACTTCCTCAACTTTTATGTCTGTTTCCTTCACCAAGTTAGGAAAGTTTTCTGTCATTATTGTTTCAAATAGGTTTTCAATTTCTTGCTCTGTCTCTTCTCCTGGCACCCCCATGATGTGAACGTTTGCACGCTTGAAGTTGTCCCAGAGGCTCTGATAATACTTTAAACAAAAATTTTACTACTAGACTTCTAGTGCCTTAAAATATTAATGTGCATTATGAATCTACAAGAGGGAGGTACACTATGCTGTTCCTCAAATGTTTTTTATTATAGAATCTTTTGGGGGGAATATATTTTAATGTTTTCTAGAATACCAAAGCTGTTTTAATTATTAGATATTAGGTATTAATTGATACTTAAACCATAACTTCTTTCTGGAGAGCATTTGCATTTTATAAGGAGCATTTTTCAAACTAGAAATGACTTAAGGAACAAATTAAGTAAAATGAGGGGAAGAAAAGCAACTAGGTTGATGTTTTGGAATAGAGGACTGTGTACTCTGCTTATTTGTAAAACTTCTCTGGATCTCTGAAAAATGAGAGGAAGTAGCCCTGGCCATTGCTCAGTGGTTAGAGTGTCAGCCCATGGACTGACAGGCCTTGGGTTCGATTCCTGTCAAGGGCATGCACATACCTGGGTTGCCAGTTCAATCTCTGGCCATGATTAGGGTGCATTTGGGAGGAAACCAATTGATGTATCTCTTTCACATCAATGTTTCTCTCCCCTCTCTCTCCCTCTCTCTCATTCGCCCTCCCCCTTTCTCCCTTCCTTTCCGTCTCTCTAAAAAAAAAAATCAATGAAAAATATCTTTGAGTAAGGATTAAAAAATAATAATAAAAATGAGAGGAAGTATTCATGAATAGATAGACTCTAACCACTCTGCCTCCCAACCATCTATGTTCCTGCCAGTCGTGTTCCCTTAGGTCATATTCAACTGTATCTCTTCACAGACTTAGTCTGGTTACTTTATGCCACAGCAGACCAGAAATAGAGGGAGTATGGGTAGCCTCAGTCCTCTTGTCTGGAATTGAAGAGTGAATTAACAAAGATGTAGAATAAAGCCTTCAGAAAGTTACTGGCCCCAATGTTTATCATTTGCAGATTGTAGAATGGTCCATTAAACCATTATAACCAAAAATACTTTTAGGATAGGTAATTCATGTACGAGCCTATCCATGCTTTGTCCTGAGTCCCAAGTTTCTCCTCTCAGGCTTTTAACTAGAAACTTAATGTCATATCTTCCATTTTTCTTACATTTTTGCTCCGGGCATATTACTCATTGTCTCAAAAAAGTAACAGTCACACTTCCTTTCTACTTCCCAGCCTAGAATGCTCTTTTATATCTTTGTACTTATCTAAATCCATCTAATTCTCCCAAATTTACCTTAAATTAAGTTCTAACTTATGGAAATTTTTCTGGGTAACTGATTTCTTCTCTTTCTGCACCTCTTCAAGGAAGCATTATGCCCTTTGCCCTGGGGTATGATCATATCAGATATTGTTGTCTTATTTGGAAAAGAATAAAGTGCTAAGAGTAGATCATCACAAATTTTACCTGATAAGCCTCTGGTCTCCATGTTTGTTTAGCTTACTGGTTACTTAGTCACAGGATCTGATTTTATTCAGAACCAGCCTGAAGCAGGAAACACAGTTCCGGGAGAGAGATTTG